CTCCGCTGCGAAGATTGCCTCTGAAAGCGTCTTTAGCTTTCCGCGGAACAGGTGGTCCCTAACGGGACCGTCTGAAAGCCCTTGAATAAAGATTGTGATCAACAAAAACTCACTCACAGGGTTCACTACCATGCAGCTTGCAAGGTAGCGTACATGTTGAGCGTAAGCGTGAACCTTACGCTTACCCTGATTGAGTTGCAGGAGCGCCGAAAGAGTCCTGAACTCTGCTCTGGGCGGCTCGAACGTCTCACTGAGCAGGGTCTTGAAGATCCTCAACGACCCAAATACGTTTGGGTCGTGCAACTTGAGGTTCAGGGCCTAAGCTCTGGCTTCTCCCTCCAGGTTAGACTGAGCGAATGAGACTTGCATTCGCTCATCATCGATGCGACGAGCATCGATGGCATCGCCCAGCTCGACGAACCACCTCAACAGGGTGTCTTCCTCGACTTCCCGATACTTGGAGACCTCTATTTTTAGAGACTCCCGTCGACGCTCACGCGTCGGCTCTGCGGACTGAGACTGTTGTTGTCTCAGTGCTTTGGTCCGCTGGTGATCTTGTTGTTGTAACAAGGTCACCTGCGCTCGCGACTCATCAAGTTCTCGTTGCAAAAACTTGCTAATGACGACTTGTTGCTGGTCCCTATCCCTTGAGGATAGCATGGCCCATATGGATTCCTCGCCAACTGTCGAACTCATTCGTTTGATCGCACTCCAATTCGATGTCGCTCGAATGGGAGTAGCTTTCACGGGTTCCGTGAAAGCTGTCGCCGTCTCCATCATCCAACATGTTCATGTTGGGCGATGGGGTTGTGGTCCTTGGACGGACTACAAGGTGCTACCAGGTGTAAAGGGGCACTATTGACTACGTACTGGTTGACCAGTACGGAGTATACTTCCACTGACGACAGTGGTCGACAGTGCCCTACTAGGTGTTGAAGGAGAACAGAGGAAGGAAAGGAGACAAAGTAGTCAGACTAGTCTCTTGGTAAAAGTAAAACTGTATTAATATAATTAAGTCCTATAACTCCTTGAATCTCTGTTGTCCTGACTTAATTATACTACTATAACCAAATGTATGATGACGTCTACTCACCACCCATTGCGCGCGTCTAGCAGCGATTCGTGGGTTAATGTCATCACGATATCAACCAATGAGTAGACCCTTCGGTCACTCCAACAATATCACCATGTTTGTGATTTTGTTAAAAGAATATTCGACGTGATACTATTTATTGTCAAATTGTCATAATGACAATCTCATGTAACGGGCTACCCCGTTACACTACTTCCGTGACGCCTTAAAATTGCTTAGAACCAAGTCAAAAACAATATATAGCTAACGCCCTCATCTTTGACATGTAAATCGTTAAGTTAATTGTCCTCTATAACCATAGATACTGATATATTTAGACTGTTTCACTTAAAAATGTAACACGATAAGATACTTGCTTACACGTTGCTTTCATTATCTGTTGCAAGCATTATAATTTAAACTGAAAAATTAACAACACATGAAAATTATTAGACAGTTTGCAAGCATTATAGTAAGACGCATTCGTTATGTTTATGTTACCTATTGCATATTTCATTTTAGTGAGCAAAGTTGGGACCCGACGCATGTCATTTACCCGTTATATATCGATGTGATATAACCATAAGAGTTCAGGCGAGGTTTTACCATCACAAATCTAAATTATAACGTACTAGGCGATACGTTACAGGCGCCTGTACGATTAGTTTTTAAAAGAACTCAAGGCTGTTAAATCTTTCACATCGTACTAACTTAACTTGCGAAATGACGCTACCTAGCATAAGCCATATGTTATTTAACACAGCAGATTATATGAGTAGTACCTTTTCATCGGGGAGTTAATGGTCGTGTTAAGACTGAAGCCATTCTTCATTTTAAGATCTACACATCCTGCTTTTCCCAATCCCCAGTAGATTTACACTAATTGCTGTCTTTTCTCGATGAAGGTGCAATAATAAAACCAAAGTGCTCAAGCTTTCTGCGTGTAAGTAAATTCACGCTGATATTGCTATAATTACAATATAACATTCGAGTTCCATATCAATGAAATAGTCAGAGATCTGGGCCATACGAAAATTATTTGGAAACCATTTATTGTGTATCATATTTACCTTGTTCGTCAATCCAACGGACTGCTTTCATAGTATTCTCTTATGCGGCGCAACAATGTACGTTGAACTATTCGACTGTGATAAGCATGGCGATGAAACACCATAAGCCATCGGGTCGATGTCCGTGCATCGTATTGTCAACATTATCAGATACGTGCTACTGCATCACAGATAGAGCCGATAAGCACTGTTTTGATCATCAAATTTAGCGATTGGGTATTTGCCGTTTATGTTATTGACTATTTCTTGATCGACTTTATTCGGTATGTGTAAAATAGGCAATACAGTCGTTTCTCCATGTAGCGGGCCAAAAGGTGTAACGTGCTTGCCTCGGTTCTTGTATAAATCTCTCTTATGTCGAAATACAATCCGATTCCATTCTAGAAAATGCATGCATGGTACACAGTCTTCCGCACCGATCAATGCTTTTTAGCATGCTCGGTGATGCTTGCCAGATTACTATTTAATTCGTCGATGTCGCAAAGTAGCTAGAGAAAGGATCGCAGACGGACACAACTTTCAAAAACCTCGGATAGACTAATCGTCAACTCACCGGCACACTCACCGTACCCATCGTCCTAAACTGCCTCATGACCTATCTTGTCTGAGCCCCACTCGATCGGTACGTCGTCATCCGCTCCGATGTTCTCGTCGACACTGACTCAGCAAGTCAAACCATCCAAGGTCTCGGTCAGATGGACCTCAACATATCGATCTTTGCGTTTGTTGTAGTCGCGTAGCTGAGTAAGACCGGTATTTATCAACGCCTCCACGATATCACACTTTCTCCAGCATTTGCGAATATTTTGCTCGATTACCTCTTCCTAGATCAATATAGCGAAGCTCACAGCATCCATGACATCCAACTTTCTGTCGATTCTGGTGTGGATTGCATCCAAGAGCCATCAATATAATCTCTTTCGATACCGCGCTTTATACGACCTAATAACTCTGTCAAAATAACGTAAAAATTGCTGGTCAAAAGACCAACCATTTAAACTTTATCTACGTCGAGCAATTGCAAATGTGCTGTCATTTTTGTCGGCAGTAATTCCAGCTTGACATTGTAGCATTCAGGGGTGACGTAGTGACACAGAGCGTTGACCGGAAGGAGAAGCATTTACATCCTGTACATATTGGCGTCGAAATGAATATTCCACTCAGCAAACGTTGACCTGATTTGCCACCCAGTCCGGTTTTTGAAGTACACAAGCATCATTTGCTTGGTGTTGGCTATTCAACATGCTCGAGATTTCTTCTACTTGCCTATGACAACGAGATCCCTACAAAGGTATTACGATAATATTCCCTTCAAAGGACACTCCCTCGATATTACCCGTTTAAGGTAATACTACTTGCTATTATTTACTACAATTAGTCTCGGCAGCGACGTACTCATCTGTTGATGTCATGGATTGGGCTTGCCCGGTTGCATGGACCCTCATCGAATACACCTCGGTGCTACTAATAGATCTCGTATTGAGCAAGCAAAGTTTGCCTAAATGTTGTAAGACTGAATAATGACGATCGTCGAATCAAATTGCCAATTAGAAAACTGAAGAAATTGGACACTTAGACACGTATGGATTGAAGCAGAGATGATGTTTGAGATTCGGACGGCAAAAGGCGTGAAGACCAAAACGATGATCGCTGGATTTTCGCTGCAAGTATTCACGCGTGTGAATTTAGAATAGGGTGAACGGCAGCGAGCTAGTGCTTTGCTATACGTATATACAGAAAAATATTCGCCCGTGGATGGATAGAGATTAGTATTTTGTCATCGACTGATACTGCCCGTCATTCCGGTTCTGTCGGCTGTATACAATCAAGCCAATGACACTTCGCTGATACAGCACCAGATCCGATCACCCTCATCAACTACTCATAAGCTCAAGACTCTTCTGCTTTACGCTGCAAACTAGTAGGTTACACGCGCGTCTTTAAATCATACAAAAAATTCTCTTTACCGACTTTGACATTGGCCGTTGCGTGGCATGTACGTTTGTACATTACATAAGAATGTTAACTTTCTCACAGACAGTTTGTAGTATGGAAAACGTCCATCGAAACGCGGTGATGGCAATGGGCGCATGTGGTGCGTGGAAATGAACAAACCGCGCGCTTGATGCTATGATAAACGGCATAGGTAGATGGCATGTTGTAGTATAAACTTTGACGTGCAACAGAAGAAGGCGCACAAATGTCACATCAATTTTAAAACCGTTAGTCAGATCACGCGCCATGTGCAATGAAAAATTATCAGATAATACTATCATATATAGCAGCTATCGAGCATCGTTGCGCACGGTTGTAGCTTCATCATTTTCGTTCGTCAAAGTGTGTGATGTCGCTTGGCAAGCAATCCAGGCGTGCTATGGCATCGTCTTCGTTCTATCTCAGCTGCTAGTGCGAGTCGCGTGTGATACCTAGGGTGCAATTGCTACGCACCAGTCAGACACGTTGATGTCAACGCTGCGTTTGCGTCTCTACCGGCTGTGTGCGATGATCTACTCCGGCACACGTCTCATGAACTGGTACAGCACTTTGCGACAGAGTCCGTCCTAATGGATTGTGTCTATTTAAAGTGGCGCAAAACGTGGCTGCCGCACAATGACTGCAGCGCTTTTCCACTGAGAAGAGGAAGCAGTGGTGGACGGGACGGACTTCGGTCAAGCTTACGATTTCAAGTACATTGTTGTTTACGACGTCTGCTCAATCGCAGATGTCGCGTGCACGCGAGTAAAAAAAGTGAGCTCACATGTAGCAAACGGTGCAGTAAAAAAGAGATTATAACTTGCCAACGCACAACAAAACAAATCCGCCACTTCGTTTATCGACCCGGATACAACACGCTAAGCTCAGCTCAGCAAGTCCGTGATCACAGCTTCCATGTTGCCGTCGTGCTGCGTCAGCAGAGCCAAGTTGCGCGTCTCATTCGCAAAGCCCATGCTAGCCAGAACCTGGAGCTGGTCCGACCATCGAAGAGACTCGATCGACTCGGTTTCCGCCACACTTGGCGTCGCAACAGTTGACCCCTCAACTTCACTCGGTACAACCGCAGCAGAGGCATTGTCAGCACGAACCTCTTCCGCGCCGCCGGTACTGACGGGCGTCAGCTCTTCCGTATCCATCACATTGATGTCGACCCAGAGACGTTGTCCAAATCGGTTTCCATCAGGCGTGCTTAGACGCCAGTAACCAGTGTAACGACCAGCCTTTGCTGGGGCCACCATGCGCAACGACACATCAATCGACTTGCCAGGTTGTACTGACGGAATCAGCACGCTCTCAGGGGCTTGCATCTTGTCGCCACCTACGCACGAAAGCACAGCTCCCACAGGCCACTTGGTACAGCCTCCGTTACGCAGTTTCCACACCTTATCAAACGCTTCTCCCGATGCCAATACCGTGCCGTCTGGGCACGTAACGTCACCCTCGAATACTGCCACAACTGGGCCCAGGTCCTGCTTGGTCTCTTCCTTCGAGATCGTCTCAAAGTAGTCACTAGCCGACATGAGCTGCGCATTGTGGCTGTACTGTACTTGCTGCAGCACTCTCTCCACCTGCACACGGGCATTCGGACACTTGGCAAGCAAGATCTTGGCCACCTCTTCCAAATCGCCAGTGCCAGCAACAGCCAGCAGACACTCGGTAAAGTTGCCCTTCTTCAGGCACTCTTCCGTCACGGTCTGGAACAGCATTGCAAACTATTCACAACCATCAGTACACACAACCAACAACAAATCCACAGCTGCCATGCTCTACCCAGCCCACGCTCACCTTTGCATTGGCCATAATCTCCAGCAACGCTTCTTGGCATCCAGGTTCGTGCAGCAACGACACCAAATCTTTCTTCAGCGTCTCGTGCTCTCCACGTGCACTCCACTGCTCAATCACTTTCCCGAGATCGACAAACAGATCCAACATCTGCTTCTTCTGCCGACTTGCCAGCAGCTCTGCCGTGTCCTGAGGCACCACGTCCGCTTCCGTGTACCTGCTACTACAACGCGTCGTGTCCTCCCCATTGTCCACAGCAGCGACAGCCTCCCGCGTCGTGGCCACGACAATGATCTTGCACACGGCAGCAGCCGCGCCCTTTCCAGCAGCGATAGCCAGCTCCCGCATCAGACGGAACGCTTCGTCCAGCTCCACGTCGTTCGTGATGCGCACTTGTTCCTGGTCGTCGTCAATGTAGTACAGACGCACGTCACAGAGCGGCGCCGCGAGCTCGGGGAAGATCCAGCGCACGTAGTCGCGCAGGTCGCGGAAGCTCAAGTGCTCCGCGTTGACGCCGATCGACGTGCGGCCGGGAAGCGACGCGAGCGTCTGGCGCACGGCCGCGACCTGCACGCGGCGCATGTCCTGTTTGGCTGTCCACGAGATCTTGAGCGTCGTCATGAGAGAGAGAGAGACCACTTGATCAGCTGACTTGTTCTTTGTCTTCTTCTTCTTCTTCGGCTCTTCTTCTTCTTCTTCTTCTTCTTCTTCTTCTGTGTGTGTCGTTTCTGGATAGAGAACAAATGTGCTGTTGTGGAGGGAAGGACGGCCGGGGTCGCACGAAGAGCATGCGATAGGCTGTACGCAAGGCTTTCCACATTCTCGGAAACGTCGGGCTGGAAAAGCAAAAAAGACAGACTCGAGTCGCGTGGCACCGTTTCAAACGGTCGCATGCTGCATTCGTATGCTGCATGGCTCGATCGTTAACCTGCTTTTTCGGTTTAGACGATGTGGGTGCGAGGTTTTTTCGATCTGCAGTGTTCGTGCTGGACAACATCGTCAAGGTTTCGTGTGGTCAAGTGGCATGTTAGCATAGTGCTCTAAGCAGAACCATACGGGCGAATGTCCGTGACAGCCATGTCGACGTTGGCACATGAGTCGAGCGCGCCAAGGCTTGTTGTAATGACGATCGTAGGTTGGGATGCAGATTCGTTTAGTGATACAGCATTGACCAGATGACTGACGTTAATTGTTTGTTCCGAATAACTGACTGACCAGCTCTACACTTCTTTGCAACGAGCCGACACGACTAATCACAGACCACAATTATGTGCCGTGCTTCACAGACGTTGCTTTGCGTATCGTACATCCGTCTTACACAGCAGTCCAAGTACATTATACGCTTTGAGAGTCCCACCCAATGTAGTTGCGCGCTCGATTGATGCCCATTGCTTCACACATGCATTGTATTCGTTCGATCCTTGTGATTTCGTGAGAATGTCCGCGAGTTGGTACTTCATCTCTTTGTAGATTACACATGATCACACCTATGCCGTTATCTCACAAATTGACAGCGAGAAGACCCACATGCTTAGTCGTCGCGTGGTTCCCCGGTGTAACGGGGTTACACGTCGGCTGGTAGTCGACGATTGGTGTGGTGCACACAAGAGAGGGGGTACCCTATAAAGTAATATTAGAACACAGTGAGTGTATCAATTGTTGAAGACTGATGTCTGTCATCAATTGATTGCGAGATCTTTTGAGAGGTTATTTAGGACATAAGTGAGTAGGTTATTTACTTTGTTCTAAGGTGTTCTTTTAGGTTAATTAAAGAAATATGAATTCAGTTCCCCTTTTGATCAACATAAGACACGTGCCTTGCGAGGCGTCTTGATCGGAAGAGCTAGCAACGCCTGTAAAGGTAGCTACTCTTGAGCACTCTGTGCTGTAATTCTCTTGAATCGTTTGGTCCCCCTGGAACAGGGACCGTAAGCTCTCTGAGCTTGTTGACTCTCTGAGTCGGGTTCGTAGAACCAAAGTTGCTCGTAAGAGCGTTAAGTCTTCCTCTGACTTAAGGAGCTGTGTAGCTCCGCTACACTCTGTGTTCGTGGCAAGCTCGATATCTCCTTATTTATCTTTCCAAGTAATCGTTTAATTTATCTGTTTAAACCAGATCAGACATCGTTGGTCTTACCACAGTAAGTTCTGTGCACATGCTTATAACCATGTGCTCAGCGTACCCAGCTTGTGAGGTACGCAGAGCCATTCTACGTTGGTGCCTTGACCTACATGTAATCAGTTCGCCATCAATAAGTAACAATGCTCGACTCGCAGACCTGCAGTCGTCCAAGTTGTCTCCCCAATTCTTATCGCTGTAAACGAATGACCGCTTTGGGGTGCTATTGATGATGTCGTATATTCCGAATGTTGACATCGATTATAAGTATCGCAAACGGTTTATTGCTGCCTACCAGTGCTGTGATTCAAAATTCAATGTAAAAGGCCTAAGCTAACGAACGGCAAGTGATCCTCCGACTGTGTGCGTGTTGCGGCATACAGCAATTACTGTAACGGGGCAGCCCGTTACATGGAAGTGTCACTTTATAAGAAAGTGACTACAAAGAATATTAAGTGAATATTCTTTGAACAATATCACCGATAATGGTGATGTTGGTGAAGCGACCAAAGGGTCTGCTCATTGGTTGATATCGTGATGATATCAACCCACCAACCGCCGCAGGACGCGCGCAATGAGTGGTGACGAGACGTCACTATACAATCAGTTATATTAGCATAATTAAGTCAGGTTCAACAGAGAGACAGTAGCAAAAAGACTTAATTATATTAATACAACAGTTTTACTTTTCCCTTGTCTACGCTTCCTCGTTTGCCTCGTGTACGTCTGTCGGGGCACCCGAAACCCTTGCGTTAAGTTCACGCAAGGGTGTGCCCCGTTACACCTGGTAGCACTTTGTAGTCCTACCAGCGACCACCTCCACATCATCCACCATGAACATGATGGATGATGAGGAGACCTTTCACGCCACGCGTGAAGGGTTTACCCATTTGAGTGATAAAAAATGGAGTGCGGTAGAACGAATGAGTTCTACCGTAGGCGAGGTCGCTATTAGCGCCATGTTGGAGTCTCTAGAAAGATACCAACAACATACCGCTATAGCCAAGTTCATCCAAAGTGAACTTGTCGCCGAAAGGGAGAAATTAGCCTTGCTTCACCAGCAAGGCTCTCAACAGGCCGAGCAGTTGAGAGAACTCGGTTCTCAACAGACAGAGCTGTTGAGATAGCAGCAATTCCATGCTGCTGTGGGCGGGACGGCACATGCGCGTCGTCCCGAGGTCATGAAGGTTGACATCTCCAAGTACAGTGGAGTCCCGGAGGAATCCCTGTTACTATGGTTTGTCGAACTCGACAGAGCCTAAAGGGCTCGTCGCGTCGCAGATGAGCAAACGAAGCTCACATTTGCTCAAATCCCTTTGGCAGAGCGTGCCAAAACTTGGTCCCTGGGGCTCGAGAGTAGCGACCAAAATGTGTTTAGGTCGCTAGATGACTTCAAGTTCCGGCTCAGACAAACGTTTGAGCCGCCACGAGCTGAGTTCAGGGCTCGTTCTGAGATCCTGAAACTCAAGCAGGGTAAGCGTGATGTGCACGCTTACGCTCAACATATACGACTCCTAGCGAGTAGTGTAACTGCTAACCCAGTTCATGAACACACGTTGATTACGGTGTTCATGCAAGGGCTCGCAGAAGGGACCGTCAGGAGCCACCTGTTCCGCCTTGAGCTGAATATGCTGGAAGAAGCGATATCACCCGCGGAACAGGAAGACTTTAGCATGAGACAGGCTCATGTTAACTCAAACTCTTATCGTCCACCAAGACGACAAGAGATCGGAGGTCCAGAACCAATAGACGTCTGCTATGTTGAGAGCGAGAGACCTCGCTCTTCAAACAACAAGCGATTTCAGAAGTGCAATCGCTCTCAGAATCTAGTGCACTACGCATACGAGTGTAGTGCTCCACGCCCAGTACCAAACAGTACCACAACAGCGAGACGGACCATCAAAAAATGGTCGGGGTCAGTAGGGGAGGAGCGCCCTACTGATCCAGCAACCTCAAGAGAATTTTCAAATCTCTTAACGAAAGTTGCTCCAGATACACAATCATTGCGTGTCTCTTCACCTGGTGACGACGTTTCGCTCATCACCTTGAAGTTGGAAGCTACAAATGATTTGTCGCTTCGTGTCCTAGTAGACTGTGGGGCGTCGAACAACTTTGTTCGTCGCCAGTCACTAGAGGGTCGCAGGCTCAAGTTCGTTGAGCGCGACATTCCCCTCACGAGGATGACGGTGCGCCTTGCAACAGGCGCATCGATTACCGTTGAGAAACGTGTAGTAAGAATCCACTACACGTTAGAGGGCCAACAGTACGACGATGACTTCATCGTACTGGATCTGGATGACAAATTTGATGTCATCCTGGGATTACCTTGGCTCAGAAAGTACGAGCCAAGGGTGAGCTGGCAGCATTGATCCGTGAAGATGCCTGCCACTAGTTCATCATATGGCCATCTGATGAACATCTTGGAGCGTCCAAAAGCGTGTGGATGTTCTGCGAGTGAGTGCGATGGCCTCAATTGCGGTTCGGTCGTCATCACGACTGCGCAAGATCACAGTGTAGTTGATCACTACACTGTAAAGCAAGCTCCCGGCGGCTGTACAGAAGTACAGGCTGCGCCGAAGGTCCACCATTTGAATAAGTCGAGTGGACCGGGACATGGATGCATGCCTAGCGGGCAGCATCTTAGAAGTAAGAAACCTGTTGCCTCCAAAGGGCATCATGGAAATCCTAGGTCGACTATGGAGTCGACCGTAGGGGATCGGTCCCTGCCTATGGTTGCACAGCCACAGTCAGAAAACGTCGAGGGAATAAGTCCCCACGTACTTGAGGAAGGAATTCCTCAAGAGTCACTTGCTGAAGGATCAGGCCCTCAGCAACCTGTGGAAAGAAGTTCCCAGGAAGTAACCGAGACGTTGAACGTCTTGGTAAATGATGGATCAAGCGTAGGCGCTTATACGCTTGATCTGATTGTGCCTCCGAAGTTAACTTCGGAGATAACTCAATTGCCAACGCTAGAACCGAAACGGTTCTTGCGTGATCTGCGTAGTGGCAAAGTCAAGCAGATCTGTGTACTCGTCGTGGAGGACGAGTACGTTACCGATATTAGATCGACAACGGTGTTTACTAGTACCGAGAGGGTTTTCAGCAGTTCATCGATGGACGAAAGTGTCATCGATGAGAAGACTCGGATTGAGAGATATAAATCTCAGTCCTGGAAGTCGCTTCAGGCTAATCCTTTGTATAAGGATTTGATCGAATTCAAGGATGTGTTCCCTGAATCCCTTGCGAGTTGCCTAAGGACAAAGGCACTCGACACGAGATCGAGCTCAGACCGGGCTCGATTTATTTTGTTATGAAGGAGTGGCCACTGCCTCGTGAACAAGTGGTAGCGATCGACAAGTTCTTTGCCGATCGCTTAGCAGCGGGTCATGTGAGGGAATCAACATCCCCTCACAGCTCTCCGACCTTCTGTGTGCGAAAGGCCACAGGAAAGTGGCGGATAGTGCACGCACTCAACACATTGAATGCTGCAACGGTACCGGCTCAG